GGTCTCCCTAACAATCCCACGCTATTTTATCCTGTCCACTCGGAATGTTTCGTCCGGCTGCATTGCAGCGGAGGCTGATGCAATTTCGAAGCTGAGGATCATGCAAACCCGATAAACCCTTTGTGTACACAGCCGGTGCAGTCGGCATACCCCCGTTTTTCGCCACGGGTGGCCTGAGCGCACGGCGTGGGCTCAGAGATTAGGCTGGCGCGCGCGTGCACGCTCAAAGGTTAAAAAATTGCAGCGGCGGCGACGACAATGGCCAGTCGGTTATAATATTTGCGTGAGTTTGCGACCACACACGTCGCTGCTGCTGCCGCTGTCGCTTCTTCTGTCGCACACCTGACACCTCAACCCACTTCTTCTTCGTCTTTGCCCAATACTTGTTCTTTCTTTCCTACTAGTTTTTCTCTGTCTCCCGTCTTGTCCTCCTCTTAATAACTGTAAGAATCTTCTTCATCCTCTGCCGTTTTTTCGCCTTCTTCCTCCTCCTCCTCATAATTATCATCATATTATAAGTAGTCAACCGAGCCTTGACTTCTTCTCTTTGCCTCACTCGGGGAAAATAACTTACTTTGGCAACAGCAGCTTATGTAGCCCCACTCATTAATCCCTACAACCTGCATGTTTTCCTACGAAAACGGTATTTTAGCCCCACTCGTTAATCCCTACAACCTGCATGTTTTCCTACGAAAACGGTGTTTATCGGGTTTTACTGGCGGCAAATTAAGACACGCAGTGGAATATACTTTAATAAAGGCTAAATGCGTTTTTATTTTACTGCATTTAGAAGTAGTGTTGATTTATACCTGTAGATTTTCCTAATGTCTATTATCATTTAACTTATTGCGGAAAAACCCGATTATCAAACTACAGGTTTCTTGAATCTCCCGAAAAATTGAACTGGTGGTTAGGAGGTCGTCTACTTCAACTTACCTGTGATATAACTTACTGTTCTGGAGTTAGATTAGTATATTCCGCGCGGGAAAGCGCGCGCACACCTTCAATTTACATGCGGAACAACCTGCTCCCAGCGGCCGCGGGATGCAACTTCGACTACATTTTCACTTTACACTTACTTCTAAAAATTTCCTTCTCTGCCTATCCTATTTCCCCTCCCTACAAAACTCTATAACTACCGTTTTTGCAGGAAAAAATGCTGGGACTAAGGGTATATGAATGCGGCTACATAAGCTACTTTTGCCCTTGCTTTGACTCAAGAACCTTGCAGTTTTCCTTTTATACGTGAAAATGGATTGGTTGTTCACTCTTGCTAACTGAAACACCTGCCAGATGACGGCAACCTCCACAAAAAGGGAAAATTGCTGCTGGCTTCCTAACCCAAAAGCCAAGAGGACACATTCGTTTGATTTCCAATAGCAGCGTTTTTAAAAGAATTTTTATCTGGAAATATTTCCTATGCAAAAATCAAAGCCCGCACCGCACCGCCCGCCCAGCCACGCTAATTTAGCCTGCCCCGACAAAGTAACTCAAGCCGCATTGTAGACGAGGCTGGTGCAATTTCGAGGTTGAAGCTCAAGGAAACCTGGCAAGCCCCTTGTGTACACGGCCGGTGCAGTAGGCCTAGCCTGTTATCCACCACGGGTGGCCTCTAAGTAGCCTGGGCACACGGCCTGGCTCAAAGATTAGTTGGCGCGCTCGCGCTCAAAAGTTGAAAAAAAATTGCAGTGGCGAGGACGACAATGGCCAGTCGGTTATAATATTTGCGTGAGTCCGCGACCACACACGTTGCTACTGCTTCGTCTGGCGTAGAACTGACACGTCCACCCACTCCATCAAGAAGGTGATTCTGCCTATTGCCCAGAAGTCCGGTCTTCTG